AAAGAAGGAAAAATAGAATGGTTAACAAGTTATGGGGATTGAAATAAAAGTCTATCTTCTCAAATCCAAGAATCCAGATTTGGTTAGTTGATCTATTGCCTAACAAAGAGGAGGAAAGACAACACGAGGGATAGAGAGAAAAGAGAAGGGTTCTTTTAATTTGTGCTTTTAAAATACAAAGTAAAATTATTTTTTTAATATTAATTGTCATTAAAAAAATAAAATTTAACATTTATTTAAACTTATAAAATATAAATAATGTCAAAAAATTAAAATTCTTACAAACTTTACTAAACATGCCTTAAATATTTAATTTTTTACTTCATGGCAAAAAATATTAAGGGAGAGTGGTGAACCGAGTGCTGAAGGGCGATTGTCCTTAGCATTCCTTTTGTTTTTTTTTTTTTCTTCTTGATAATTTACCTTTTTGAAATTTCCATATAAATCATTTTAGAAATATTCCTTAGTAGGAGAAGCTGTATCAACAATAGTTTTCCTAAAATTTTTTATGTTTATCTATGTAATTTGTAATTCAGTCCACTGGCACTATCAATAACAACCCAATTGGCTTTAAAAGGCGTGTCAGCGGGCTGTTAGCCTGGGTTCTATTTCTATCCCATTCCCATTCATTTCTTCTACAAAAACATTCACTTAAGTAATATTTTTACACAAAATCAACCTTAATTAAGGTTTGGTTTAAGATTGTTGTGCAATGCTGGTGTTACTTTACCATGCTCAGTTGCTACCAAAAGTTAGATTAAGATAAATATTATTATTTAATTTAATAATTGCTTTTCAAAAAAAAGTTGTATAATTGTGTAATTATAAAATTAAAATTTATTTTTTAAATTAAAATTATTAAAAACTATTAGTTTAAACATTCGTAACCCTTTAATAAATGACACCCCTTCGGAGGAATTGGTCTTCAGACTACCGTCGTCGCATTAACTGAACATAAAGACACCTAAAGAAATTTTGGGACTATTGAAAAACCCATTAACCTAAATGTTGAAAAAAATCAGATGAGGGTTTTCGCATGTATGTCAGCAATTAATATCGTGGACCTGAACTCCACGTTTTAAAA